TACTGCAACACCTCAAAGGAACATGCAAGCAGCAGTCCTTGGGAGCGACTTTGCAATTCGCTGGTAATTTTGTTTCTATTTACAATGTTAGGTTGTGGAGGTGCGAAGCTAGTAATACCCCCCCCCCCCCCCCACAAGGCCAAGCAATAAGTGAGCACTGGTGAAAGACATTGAGTATTTCTAGATGTAAAAGTGTACGTGGAGGTAAACCTGGTGACACTTTACTTGGCAACAGTATACCTTGTGACTACACAAGACCGATGGTTATACATGATGTAAACTTTTAAGAGTATACCAAAGAGGTAAAGGTATACCTCAAAGGGCGGGTGGAGTGAGAATATGTTTAGCTCGAGTCATGGAATGTCAACACAAAACAGCTGATGTTGGCGCCAAAAGTTGCCGTCGTCACCGTGGCTTTCATGCTCCCGCCATGACGTGTCACAATCTGTGCCCCCTCGTCACGGGCCTGGCCTCGCTGCTTCCGGTGTTCCCTATTATACTGTCGAGGAGGGGGGGGGGGTGCATGTGCGTGTCGCGAGGGGTGTATGTGCGTGTCGCGAGGGGTGTATGTGCGTGTCGCGAGGGGTGTATGTACGTATCGCGGGCGTGCGCGCGCATCTTTGCTTACCAACATCTACGTAAAAACTACATCTAGCTCTAAGGGGTCCCACTTCCTGGCGTCTAAAACGTTCTAAACGTTCAAATATTGTCACACTTGTTCTTGAGACTAAGTTAACTTGGACTCCAGTTACTCCTGGAGTCCAAGACTCCTGGACTTAACTCCAGGACTTGTGGTATGGGGGGTGTGATCCCCTTGTACACCATATAGTCTCAATACCTCTGTCTTTTGACGTGTCTCAGAATCATTTGTCTCCAACTTTGGTCTGTGTCACCTCGTTTTATCTTCATCTACTTCCTCTATCCATCTCTGTATCTTGTATGGTGGGATCATGTCACCTACGGTCTTTCTTCCCTCTAATGCAGTCAAGTTTAGATTTCTGAATCTGAGTTTAGATTTCTTAATCTGTGTTGAGAAGACCCATGTGTGGAGGTGCAGTGTGGTGCAGGTGTGGACAGTGTTGCCATGCTGGTGAGGATGACAGGTGTAGGAGTGTCTTCAGGTAAGGGGAGTATAATGGCCGGAATGGTCCCTTCCTTGTATGTCTTGATATAATACCTCTCAGGTCTTTCATACTCCTGACACGCTCTCCATCTTACTGTATGTGTTACGTCTGCTCCTGCTCCTTTGTTGACTTTTGGTGTGTGTACTCACCTAGTTGTACTTGCGGGGGTTGAGCTCTGGCTCTTTGGTCCCGCCTCTCAACCGTCAATCAACAGGTGTACAGATTCCTGAGCCTATTGGGCTCTATCACATCTACACTTGATACTTGTGTGTGTGTGTGTGTGTGTGTGTGTGTGTGTGTGTGTGTGTGTGTGTGTGTGTGTGTGTGTGTGTGTGTGTGTGTGCTTTTATCTCAATTGTCTGCCTTCTACTGAGCCATTTAGTTGTGATTTATTAATTTAATAGGACGAGCTGGAATTTATATATTGCACAACATTAAGATATACAATTACAATTACAATTACAATTACAATTACAATTACAATTACAATTCCCAGACCGCCTCCAGCAGGCCACAAGTAAGCTGTGTGGGCAGGATGCGAGAGACAATTCCTTTCTCTCTCCATTGCATCACTGACACACGATACTTTTGAGTCTCTAGATCCCATAACCAGTTTATAGCCCACAACTCATTCAGGAACTTAGACTGGGGTTTGGGCGAACTAATTGGTTCATAAACTGTGCTCCATTGATTAGCGCTGCTTCTTTATCTAATGAAACAAATCAGGAGGTAGCGATAAGGCAGAATGACTCTACACCACTGAAAATGTATACTATCTTGAGGTTATCTTGAGATGATTTCGGGGCTTTTTTTTAGTGTCCCCGCGGTCCGGTCCTCGACCAGGCCTCCACCCCCAGGAAGCAGCCCGTGACAGCTGACTAACACCTAGGTACCTATTTTACTGCTAGGTAACACTAGGTACTACGTACTAGGACAGGGAGCTGGGATACTAGGACACAGCTGGGATACGAGGACAAGGAGCTGGGATACGAGGACAGGGAGCTGGGATACTAGGACAGAGCTGGGATACGAGGACAGAGCTGGGATACGAGGACAGGGAGCTGGGATACGAGGACAGGGAGCTGGGATACGAGGACAAGGAGCTGGGATACGAGGACAAGGAGCTGGGATACGAGGACAAGGAGCTGGGATACGAGGACAGGGAGCTGGGATACGAGGACAGGGAGCTGGGATACGAGGACAAGGAGCTGGGATACGAGGACAAGGAGCTGGGATACGAGGACAAGGAGCTGGGATACGAGGACAAGGAGCTGGGATACGAGGACAAGGAGCTGGGATACGAGGACAGGGAGCTGGGATACGAGGACAGGGAGCTGGGATACGAGGACAGGGAGCTGGGATACGAGGACAAGGAGCTGGGATACGAGGACAAGGAGCTGGGATACGAGGACAAGGAGCTGGGATACGAGGACAAGGAGCTGGGATACGAGGACAGGGAGCTGGGATACGAGGACAGGGAGCTGGGATACGAGGACAAGGAGCTGGGATACGAGGACAAGGAGCTGGGATACGAGGACAAGGAGCTGGGATACGAGGACAAGGAGCTGGGATACGAGGACAAGGAGCTGGGATACGAGGACAAGGAGCTGGGATACGAGGACAAGGAGCTGGGATACGAGGACAGGGAGCTGGGATACGAGGACAAGGAGCTCGGATATGAGGACAAGGAGCTGGGATACGATGCCCTACCCCTTGAACCATAGAGGGGGATCGAACGCCGACCCGGCCAAACACAAAGCCAAAGCTGTACCGACCAGCCCAAGTGGATGGCGGGCCTGCAGTGAGTCACTCCTCAACATGGGAGAGGCACGCACAGTTAGCTTGACCACATGCAGACAGCTTGGTAACAAGTCATGCCTCTAGCAATAATTACCCGGGTTCGAATCCAGTTTCCAGCCAAGATGCCAGTCCTCTTCCTCACTCAGTATTCGTCACCGCAGACTCATTACATTATACACACATCACTTAACCTTGAGGTACACACCACCCACACACACACACACACACACACACACACACACACACACACACACACACACACACATTGTTGATTGACAGTTGAGAGGCGGGACCAAAGAGCCAAAGCTCAACCCCCGCAAGCACAATTAGGTGAGTACACACACACACACACACACACACACACACACACACACACACACACATACACACACACACACACACACACACACACATTGTTGATTGACAGTTGAGAGGCGGGACCAAAGTGCCAAAGCTCAACCCCTGCAAGCACAATTAGGTGAGTACACACACACACACACACACACCTGCCATCTGATTGACTGGACCAAATGGTTTAACGCTTGTAGTAGGACGACTGTTCCATTAATAACTGTTCCATTTTAACTGTTCCATTATGAATTACTTTGACATGGGAAAGTGAAAAAAGAAAGTGAATCGCAGTGAGGCGGCCCTGCCTGACCCCACACAACCCGCCTTGTATAGTCACCTGTGTGAGAGAGCAGACAGGTGTACAGGTGCCACATGCCTCACACAACTGTCGCCTGTCTCACACACACACCAGGCAGCGACCTCTCACATGTATAATGGTCACCACTCCTCACCACAGAACTATGTGCAAATAATACTCCATAACTGACTGCTGACTCCACAACTGACTACTGACTCCATAACTGACTACTGACTCCCAGCAACAACATGTTTTAATACTGAGGGGAAACATTAGCCACATGTGTGGCCTCCACAACACTGACTGGTGGTTCAGGTGTGGCTTCAGTAATTTATGATGAGATAGTGACCTATAGTGCCGGCGTCACCCCCCCCCATACACCCCCCCCCCCATAATGACCAGTGAGGAGCGCTCCGGCCACCACCGTGAATACGCAACACTGTTTACGTCACACTGTGTTATGTCATAGTGGGTAACGGTACTCTGCCTCTCCCCCTCCCCTTCACACCCCCTCTCTGTCCCCACTCACGTCTTCCCCTCCCCCCTCCCCCTACCCTTCCCCCCCCTCTCACTGGATCCTCCCCTCCCCTTAACCTTCCTCCTTGGTACCCCCCCTCCCCCCCTCTAGCACTATGCCACACCTGACAGCACCAGCGTCAGGTGTGTATGTATGTGTATGTATATGTCTGTGTATATGTATATATATATATATATATATATATATATATATATATATATATATATAATATATATATATATATATATATATATTATATATAGGTTATATATTTATAACAATTCGATAAATAATAATAAAATAATAGCCTTAAACAGAACAACATGTGTGGAAGCATCAGGGAGTGTATATATATATATTATATATATATATATATATATATATATATATATATATATATATATATATATATATATATATATATATATATATATGCTACACAGTATTCATCTATAGACATCCACATATGGTACAAACACACATATGAAGAACCTCTCTCACACTTACAGCTCCCTGACAAGAGGGAGCCAGCTTAGCTTAGCTGCCAACACCCACACATCGTGTCAGCAAGGCGGACAGCCCGCCTGCTTCCATATACCTATCACTGTACAATAAACCCTTGAACTATATGTTTAACACTTTTCTAACCTTGTCCATGGAGGACAGAAGAAAATGTATATATGCTGGTTAGCATTGTAAATGTCTGGCCACGTCTGTGGTAGAAAATAATAATAATAATAATAATAATAATAATAATAATAATAATAATAATAATAATAATAATAAAACTGTATTTCCCACTTCTAAACTTTCCCTTCACCTATGCCTCTCCTTCCTCTATACTCCCCCCCCCCCCAAAAAAAAAAAAAAAAAAAAAACACAGAACAAAAAAAATTTTTGTCACACTTACCATTTTTAACGTTGTTAGTTTTGTTGTTGTTGTTGTTGTTGTTCTTGTTGTTGCTCCACCTAAGCAGGCCGGAGTTCTTCATCATTCTCGTCTGCCCATCAAATACACTGTAATACAACAACAACAGTTTAATACAACCTGTGCAACAATTTATCAATCTTTACATAGCAAACAGATGAGGCTTTATTAGGCCGGCCATTGTTACTAGAGCCGAGATATATATATATATATATATATATATATATATATATATATATATATATATATATATATATATAATTAACACAACATGCTGCCAAAGCTTTAAGCAACTTAGCCAAGTATCTCTCTCAACACGTCTACTGTATCTCTCTCTCAGCACATCTACTGTATCTATATCTATATTTCTGTGTCTCTCTGCTTCTTGGAGAGTGTGATCCAGCATACTGTTGGTTGCCGCTACACGCAGTCAACGTCTAGGTTGAACACCAAAGGTATATCTTGAACATATAAGATATTAAGCATGAAATTATTCTTTCCTTATTAAGACCACTCAATAGCTCGGTCGATAGAGCTTCGATCTCACATACAAGGGGACGAGGGTTCGAGTCTCCTGGAGCCCAGGAGAATGGGATATATCTTGAACATTTCTCCCATTCACAATTTAGCTTACCAAGGCTATTTATCATATTTCACATATTTCAACCACGTTATTGTGACTCCTCGTCTGCATTTATCTTCCCATTTCCTAGTAACTCCATTCGTGGGCAGTGTGTGATGTTACATCTATGCCACAGTGTGTGTGAGATAGCGCCAGGAGGAGGTTATCTTGAGGTTATCTTGAGATGATTTCGGGGCTTTAGTTCCTCGACCAGGCCTCCACCCCCAGGAAGCAGCCCATGACAGCAGACTAACACCCAGGTGCCTACTTTACTGCTAGGTAACAGGGGCATAGGGTGAAAGAAACTCTGCCCATTGTTTCTCGCCGGCGCCCGGGACCGAACCCAGGACCACAGGATCACAAGTCCAGCGTGCTGTCCGCTCGGCCGACCGGCTCCCGACCGACTGTTGCTCCAGTGTCTTGTACTTGTTGCCACGAGATTAACAAGTCGAGGACCTTTGATGTTACAGTGTGTTTTCTACATTTATTTATGGCACCAAGACTTTTCCCTCTAATATTTCCAACCATCATTCTTGCCCCCATATTGTTGTAATTATTGAGACTTTTATTACGGATTATTGCAGCTGAACGGCAACATATTTTCCCTTGCGCTTCAGACCTTGTAACTATTTTCAGACTTATTTTGGTGACGTCAGCGAAGGATGTTGCTGACGTCATTTTATTGATGGAGGGAGGGAGGGAGGGAGTGAAGATGGAGAGGTGCCGGTGAAGGAAATGTTGTAGGAGAGGTGTGGTTGACTGACCGCCTTGCTGACACGACTTATCTCCGGTAGCTAAGCTAAGCGTGATCTCTTTTCCCCCCCTTACCTTGAGGTTCAAGTATGTTTATTGAGATAAGAAAGAAATACATCTCTAAGAGCACCTTGAGGTGCTTCCGGGGCTTAGCGTCCCCGCGGCCCGGTCGTCGACCAGGTTGTTGGACTGGTCTCCGGGAGATTTCTAACCAGGGAAGACTGATTTCTTCCCTCGGAAGACTGATTTCTTCCCTCGGGAGACTGCAAGGTTCTTCACGTGTACTTTAACATATATGGACGTCCATAAATGAATGTTGTGGAGCATTCACATACCTGGAACATACCTGGAGAAGGTTTCGGGAGTTCTTCTACTCCCCGAGCCCGTCCCTTGACTTGTAATAACTTGATCCAACAGGCTGTTGCTTGAAGCAGCCCGCAGGCCCACATATCCACTACAACCTGGTTGGTCCGGCACTTCTTGCAAGAACTTGTCTAAGTGCCTCTCGAAGACGTCCCCCTACGTCCCGGCAATGTTTCTAAATGCGTCCTCAACTCCGATGCCTATGTACATGTTTAGCTGTTCCTCTTTACAGGACCAATTCTTGTCCCCCCTTGGGGGAATTCTGTAGTGTGTATTTATATCTTGGCTGCCCTCTTGGGCCTCAAGAGGTGTAGGTGAAGGGTGCCTCATCTTGGAGAAGTCTTCCTAGTATTGGACCTTTGACATTTTGATGGTATTCAACACCCTGATGCCTTGCTCTTGTAATCTGGTGATTTTGTTTATATATATATATATATATATATATATATATATATATATATATATATATATATATATATATATGTATAAAGTTATTACATCTTAGTGGTTATACGTTCAAGGATTGATGAATGTCCTGGACTATTTAGTCACATGATGGAAGGGTCTTTGCGGTTCTTGTTAATGTCTTAGTTGTGTATGTTAGTTTTCTTTAAGGTGGGATACTGATACTGGAGGGTCTTAAGATATATGGTCTTGTTAAGGTAAGCTGGTTGTGCGTGTCAGGGTCACGGGATCTTCCCCCACCTCACTAAGGCTCTTCTTCCTTTGCTTATTGCCATTCATGTGACTTTGGATTACTGTTCTATTATGATTCCTGTTGCATTACTGTTCTATTATGATTCCTGTTGTATTATGATTCCTGTTGTATTATGATTCCTGTTGTATTATGATTCTTGTTGTATTATGATTCCTGTTGTATTATGGTTATTGTTCTATTATGATTCCTGTTCTATTAATTCACAATTCCCCAGTATTGTGTGTGTTGGATAGGGAGGCTGGCCTGGATAATGGGCTTTGGGATAATTTTTGCAATGTGTATAATTTGGAACCTTTGTTGATGCTTATTGATGACTTGAAGGAAGAGGGAGGGGGGGGAAGGGAGGGGTGGGAGGGGGTGAAGAGAAGGAATGGGTGCGGGTGGGGGGGGAGAGGAGGGGATGAAGTGGTGGAGATGAGGTCGAGGAGTGGGGGGGGGGAGGTAGGGAAGGTGGGGAGGGGGGATGGGAGGGGGGATGGGAGGGGGGATGGGAGGGGGGGGGAGGGAGGGGGTGGAGGTGAAGCTCAGTCACACAGCTGGTATTTCTTCCCCGACATTATGCCCCTCCAACACTGCGTCGTTTGTGGCCAGGGAGGGGAAGGGAGGGGAAGGGAGGGGGAGGGAGGGGGAGAAGGGAAGGGAGAAGGTGGGGGAGAGAGAAGAGGCTAAAAAGAAGGGAGAGAGGTGAGAATAGGAAGGAGGGGGTAGGGGAGAAGGGAGGAAAGAGGACAGAAAGGAGGGGGGTGGAGAGGGAAACAAGAGTGAAAGTAATGGCTGCTTTAGGTGGTAACACCAATACTACCCTCCCTGGCCCCTCCACTCTACTTCCCTCCCACAGAGAGAGAGAGAGAGAGAGAGAGAGAGAGAGAGAGAGAGAGAGAGAGAGAGAGAGAGAGAGAGAGAGAGAGAGAGACGACAGAGAGAGAGAGAGAGAGAGAGACAGAGACACAGAGAGAGAGAGAGCCAAGCCTATCAGCTGGAAGCGACCTTGAGGACCACAACACCACCACGTGGCCGGACCTCAACACACCCCCCCCCCCCCCCACCCCCCCCCCCTCCTCCTCTGAGCCCAAATAGGACACACTTTTCCCCCGTCAGCCAATCCAACGTCTCAGCCCCCTCCCCTCCCCCCCCACCTCCCCCCTAATCTCTACTCCGGGAACAACATTCCAGATCTCCCCTTGTTAGTATTCCACGACCATTATCCCAGCCAAGGTTACTGCTGCCATTATTAACTCTCTCTCTCTCTCTCTCTGTCTCTCTCTCTCTCTCTCTCTCTCTCTCTCTGTCTCTCTCTCTCGTCTCTCTCTCTCTCTCTCTCCTCTCTCTCTCTCTCTCTCTCTCTCTCTGTCTCTCTCTCTCTCTGGCGCTGGAGACTTGAATGCCGGCACCATAGTGATCCTGGTGTGTACACACCTGCCTGAGTCACCCTGTGGGCCCTACACCCTCCTTTTTCCCCCTCCCCTTCCCCCCTCCTTCCTTCCCCTCCCTCGCCCCTTTCCTCCTTCCCACCTCCCCCTCCCTCTCCGAGACGCACGAACTGCATACATCTTAACTACCTTTCAAATGGTAAACTTCATCATTCCCTTTGCATGTAACTCCGGCGACGTATGAGAAGTTTCCCGCGCAAGTTTGTCTAGCCTGCTTGTTGGTGTCCATCTGTTTGGTATTCATTTTGGCGATCACTGGTCGACGACCGGGCCGCGGGGACGCTGAGCCCCGGAAACACTCCAAGGTTCCTCCATCGTTAAGAAAGCGGTCAGTTTAAAGTGTCCTCTCCTAACCTGCCAGAGGACCCAAAACAGAAAACGGGACAGTACGTCATGTTCGCCAGCCGCTTCCATTTTCTAAGACGACAATTTTTGGACGTATGTGGGAATCATACACCCAGGTGTGGTGAACACCTCACCACCATACACCAGGTGTGGTGAACACCTCACCACCATACACCAGGTGTGGTGAACACCTCACCACCATACACCAAGTATGGTGTATGAGGGTGTCACGTCACGGAGGTGGACGTTACAGGTACACAGTCACTATATCGACAGTTCCTTCACCCTCTCCCAAGACTGAGTCGTGCTCTGATGGCTGTTGCTCAACAGCGAGTCAGCTGAGTAATTGGCCCTTCAGATCCAAGCAGCTTTCTCCTGCAGTCACCCATTCTCTATACATCTAGGTAACCATGCTAAGTCTGCCCCTTTGTAATGATCTGACTCTCTGTTTATGGCTCTCCCCCTCTGTCCCTTTTCCCCCCTCCCTTTGGTCATCTCTCCCATTTGTCACAGTCCATCTTCACTGGTCATATCCCACCGCTGCCACCATTGCAATAACTCTTTCCCTTCTCTCTCTCTCATACACACGTTTCACACATACACACAGTTGAGAGGCGAGACCAAAGAGCCAGAGCTCAACCCCCACAAGCACAACTAGATAAGTACACACACACACACAGAGCAGATAGAGACAAACTCTTAACATGGAGTATACACATTAGGCGGCCCTCGTAACGTGTACACATTGCAA